GTCTTAGGGACCTGGGGCCTTCACGACACAAACCTCATGGGGTGACTGTGAGGAACAGAGATGTGGAGGCTCCAAGTCCAAATCAAGCATTGTCTCTAGAGGGCCCCCACTCCTTGGTGGCCCCCAGGCCATCCTCAGCCCAGGGTGTCTGTCCCAGGATTGGCCTCTCTTGACAACATGTCCGCAGTATGTGAGACAAATTCTCACCACCTTTGCCTCTAGCGTGCAACCTGGTTGTACTTCCTCCAGGACAGACTTGTTGGTTCTTTTGACAGTCTGTGTGATACTCACTTATCTTCTCCAACACAACTCAAAGGCATCACTTCCTTTTTGGTCTTCCTTAGCCACTGCCCAATTTCCACAATACACAGGAAGCAACTGGAAATACCATGGCTTGGGTCAGGTGCGCCTTAGTCATTAAGCTGACATCTGTGCTCTCCAGCACTTTAAAGAGGTCCTTGCCAGTAGCTTTATCCCTGCACAAATGCTGCCTCTTTGCTGCGTTGTGTGGTTGGTTGGCTGAGCTGTGCACACCTCCCTACCCTTGTTGCCAACCTCATGTTGTTGTGAGATGCTGTTAACTCCGACTTGCAGTGAGCCCACGGAAGCAGAATGCAGCCCTGGCTGGGCCTGCACGCCTCCCGGCGTCTGCCGGGTATGAGCCCGTTGCTGCAGCTGCTGTGTCCATCCACTTCATGGAGGGAGGGGCTTCCTTATTTCTGCTGACCTTCCAGTTTACAAGACATCTGTCACTATGTCTGTGCGAGAAGGACCCTCCAGCCCAGAGTGGCTGCTGGGGGTCTCTACAAGGCAGCTCCGGGTCCTGCAGGGACTCACGCTGTGGTTCCTGCAGGTTTCCACAGATGCCTACTATCCCATCATAACCAACCTGACAGAGGAGAGGAGGCACTTCCAGAAGCCTGGGGTAGCACTCAGCTACCTGCACAACGTGTCCGTCAGCTTACCCCACGAGTCCCTCTCACAGGACACCGCCCGGAACCTCACTGAGGTAAGGAGAGGCGTTCCGAGCCTGGTGAGTCAGGAATGGTCAGTGGCCGGACCACGGCCTCATGTGTTTGGTTTGACTCACACGGGGTCAGGCATTCTCCGCTGCTGAAGGGTTGTCTGCTGCACACCATATACGTCAGCCGTGTGATTGTGGCATGAAAACCCTCGCTCTATCAGCCTGGCGTGGTGGGAGCAGGTGTGGGAGCTCCAAGAAGGACAGACAGTGAGCCGGGGGACAACCAAGCCAGCCAGGATCAGAGCCACGGACAGAGGCTAGGACGTCACTGCACCAGGCAGGCCATCGTCTCCTGGGATGCCACAGCGTGAGGAGGGCTGCCCTCTGCCCGGCCCACTGTGCTGTTGGGCCTGGGTCTTATGCTGGACCGTCTCCGACAGCAGGCCCAAGCATGGCATTCATGAGGACGGTGCGGGACGGGGCCAGGTTATTAGTTCACAGAATTGACTCAATGACTTAACAACACTGGAACAGAGATCAATGTTGTTTACAAAGGAGCCACGTTTTTAAACTTGGTGACCTCCTTCCTGCTCCAACCCTCCCTGCTCCCCTCAGCTTACACTGACCCCAGTCCCAGGCTGCAAATTCAAATGCCTTCCAGGACCAGCCAGGCCTCGTGCTGGCGACCTTGGAGCTCTGGTCTCAAACAACCATAGTAAAGTCCTCGCACGTCGCGGTAAAGCAAGTCACACTGTTTTGTGGTGCACAAGGAAGTCGTGTGGATCTCGGCTGTAGTGTGTGAGGGGTGCACCAGCATGTGAGGATGTCTGACAGGTATAGGTGACTAGAGTGGGACCTGGGGACTGGGAGTGACCTCGCAGTGCTGGGAAATGGTGCTGGCAGATGTGCTGGACACGGGATGACACAGGCCTGCAGGCCACGAGGAGCGGGACGTCTGCGGAGCTGAGTGAACTGGGCACAGACAGAGGAGTGAGCCACAGGCCACTGTACACCTGGTAAGAATGGATGCTAAGCAATCTCTTGTCTGTCTGTAGACCTTCTTACAAACCGTGGGAAAAGTTCTGCTGCTCAACCGGACCACCAGGTCAGAGGTAAGAGACAGCCGTGTGGTCTTCCTGGAGGTGGTGTCACATGGCCCAGTTCACATCCACAGAAGGGACAGTGCATCTCTCAGCACCCTGAGAATCCACTGAATGGGCTGGTCAGTGTCTTCTTAGTGGCCCCCCAAGTGGTGTGAGCTCTCCATGGGGACAGGCCTCTGTCCTTGGACAGCAGACCAGGAGGTGCTGGTGGCTTTGTGCATTCAAAGCTTGTCTGTAATTTCACATAAAGCATTTTTACCATCACGTTGTTCTTGGGTGGCAGTAAACAAACCACATTTGATGTAAGAAAAGGCAAACACGCAGCCACACATGATGTGCCAAATTCTACGTAAATAACACACGTCTCACAGTCCTGGGAGGAGAGGGGAGACAAGTCCAGCAGGCTGGGGCCACACAGGTGCTGAGACGCCTGGCCCCACTCCTACAGGGAGCAGATGGGACTGCGGGTACCCTCCTTCAGCCGCTCCCCACAGGGCAGCGGCCATGGTGGCCTGGGTCGGCCAGAGCTGCTCGGTGTGGAGGCCGGGCTTGGTGGGGCTGGAGCAGAGACCGGGGCACAGCCGAGATTCTGGTGTAGCCTTGCCCTGCACCTAGTGTGGAGGCCTCCGAGCCACTGGTGGGTGGCTGGACCAGCCTGGATTCCTGTGCCGGCTCAGGGTCTCATCCTGGGCCTAGTGTGGAGATCCTGGAGCTATTGGAGGGCAGCACGGCCAGCTTGCGCCATCCTGACTCTGAGTTGGCAGTTGCATTTCTGGAGAGCCTGGGGAGGGGCAGGTGGCTGGGGGGCTGGTTTAGTGCGGGTCCTGAGCAGGGCGAGCCCTCACGCCCCTCTCCTGTCTGCCCCAGGACCACGGCATGGCACTGGGCCTGATTGAGATCATTGACGCGGTGATGGGGCACATCTCCACCAACCTGCAGGCCTGCGAGTCCCACATCACCTTCACCGGCTCCTCCTCCATGGCAGGTAGCTGGCCGGGGGGTGGGGCAGGCCGTCTCCAGGGCGGCCTGTGTCGGTGTCCAGCGTGTGCGCACACTCACACACACCCACACAAACTCAGACACACAGTTACACACATGCACAGACTCCCACACGAGAGCACGTATATAGACACACACATGCACACTCCCACAGATGTACGCACTCACACTAGACACACGTGTGCACCGCAATATGGGCTCCCTTCATTTTATTGTTATCTGCAGCACACATGCTCACACACAGACACAGAAAAATCACACACATGCTCATACCTATGCACATGCACGCACACACACACACGCTTCCACACTTGCACACACACCCCACGCGCACACACACAGGAATACACACACGCTTCGCCTCACTGTGTTTCACTCTACGGCGCTCCGTAGACACTGTTTTTTACAGACATAAGGTCTGTGGCAGTCCTGCGTCGAGCACATCTGTGGGTGACACACTTGCTCACTTGGTGTGTCCGTGTTCCGTTTTGGTCAATTTCCCAATGTCTCAGACCTTTCTGTCAGGCGGGCGCGTGTTTATTGGATGGCCCAAGCCCTGCTGTCGTATCAGCTCCCACACCTGGTAACACTGAGTTTCAGAGGCTCTGAGTCTTTGCAGCTGCAAACACCTCAGCCTTCTGACCTTGAGGCACTGGTGGGTTTAAACTGGTGACCTTCCAGTTAGCAGTCCAACATATAATGCACCACACCTTAAATGTAAGTTTATACACACTGGGACATCCACGTGGCTCACACCGCAGCAGGATTCACTCGACTGCCAAATCTGGGCCGCAGCCTCTCTGGGGCTGCCCGTTCTACTGCCCAGCCAGAAACCCTGCCATGACGTACTGCTGAGGGCACGGACCCCCACGCCACCACGCTGAGCCAGCCACACAGCAGGAATGCCCCATGACCACTTCTGTCAGATATATGCCGAGGGCATGTGCTGGGGACAGGAGTACTGCCTGTGTGCTGGGTTGGAAACCAAAGGCCAGCAGTTCAAATCCACCCACCACTTTGCAGGAGAATGATAAGGCAATGTGACTGCAGGGAGAGCACCGGTCTTAGTGTCCCTGAGGGGAGCTGGGCAGCCACGCAGGCCTGATGGTGGTGGAGTCTGAGGGGTTGGGGAAGGGTCCCTAGTGATGATGGGAGGTAGTCTGGGGTGGAAGAATGAGGAGGGTCCCAGGGCTGAGTGGCCCCTGGTCTGGACCACAGGGTGGCCCAGTTCCTTTCAAACTTTCTTTTCTTTTTTTTAATTCAGATTTTAATAAAAGTTTATAAAGAACTTGGGTTTCCAATCCTTCACTGTTGCACATTTTCCTCCCTGCCTCCCTCCCCTCCAGATCACTTTTTTCTTTTGGGGAAAAAAGTTCTTTCAGTGTTATACTGTGCCCCCACCCTCTCCCGCCCCGGACCACTTTACTATGCAGCTCTTATTCTGGACTCTTGTCACGCCAATAATACCTAATCATATATTCCTTTTATACAGCTCTCTCCCTTATCTGTTTCAATGTCGTGTACATTATGTATCCCCTCTTTTCTTCATTTTCCCCCCAACCTCCATGTCAATCCTATTTCATAACAGTGGCGTTATGCCACATTTGTCTTTTTGTGACTGAGATATTTCATTCAGCATAATGTCCTCCATAGTCACCCATTTTGTATAGTATTTCCTGAGTTCTTTGTTTTTCAGGGCTGCATAATATTCCATTGTGTGACTATGCCACAGCTTCTCTATCTATTCATTTGTTGATGGCATCAACAAAGCAGCAATAAACATGGGTGTGGGTGGTGACTTTCTGAGGAGGTGGTCACCTCCAGGAGCCTGTTCTGGCATGAGGGCTTGGAGCCCCACAGAAGCGTCCCGTCTGTGGCTGAGGGCTCACTGACCAGCTCCTCGCCTTGCTCCCACAGAATACTCGGTGAACAAGATCCTCCCCCGGGCCATGAACACCTCTCATTACCGCTTCCTGGCGCAGGGCCACAGCTACATTGAGATCCCTCACGAGGCCTTCCAAGTCCATGGTGAGCTGACCCTTCCAGAGGGGACACTCACCCTGCCCCCCGACCCAAATCTGCCAGTCCGTTAGGGGTCACACAGAGATCCATGTGGCTGCCTGCCCCCTCCTGGGGCTCAGCACACTGCTGGGGCCAGTAAGGGACACAAGACATGTGGCTGTGTAGAGGCTGGTGGGGGAGGGCCACCGGGCACGTGACTGGGCGGTGGCTTGGTGGACGTCCCTGACTCCGACGTCTCTCCCCAGCCTGGACCACCATCGTCGGCCTCCTCTACCACACAGTGCATAATTACCTGGACGGCATCCATCCGGCCCACACCAGGTGAGTCTGTGTCACTCAGCGGGGCAAGGGGCAGCTGTCCTGTGTGTGGTGACCATCCTCTAGTCCTGTGTCATGTACACACATCACCTGCCCTGGGTCATGGCGTGTCCTGTGCTCAGCAGTCAGGTCACCTTGCCGCCCTGTCCATGTGGCAGGACCTGCAGGCTGTGTTAACTGGAAGTGGACAGAGGGAGTGAGAGGGCAAGGTCAAAGGAGACCCTCAGTCTCAGGGTGTAGAAATGGCAACTTGGGGGTGTCTGACTGCCCTGTCTAATGTCACAAGAGGAAGGAGAGGAACATTAGTCACAGCAGTAGCTGCTTCCTGAGAGTTGGGGTCAGGTGAGCCCCCATCCTGGCCTCATCACCCATCCTGACCCCAGCTGTCCCTCCCACTGACCTCTCCTGCTCTAGCTGTGGGTCCAGTGGCCACACAAGGCTCACACGATTACTTGGGAGGTGGCAGGATGCGTGCAGTTCAGGATCAGGAGCGACTCAGGACATGATTCTTTATCAGGATTGTCTCTGCTCAGCTGTGCCCATACGCTGGCCTCTCCCCGACCCTCAGCCTCGCAGCCCTTGGCCCCTCAGCCTCGCAGCCCTTGGCCCCTCAGCCTCGCAGCCCTTGGCCCCTCAGCCTCTTGGGCCAGCTTGGCTTCTGGTCGGGCACCTGTTACAGGGCACCATAGAGCTTCCACTGTGTGCCCAGATGCAGCGCCCTGCCAGGGAGCTCAGCAGAGAGGCACTTAGCTTCCTCGTGTCCCTCAGGCCGTGGTCACACCGAGGGCCAGGCAGCCCCACGCCATCTCTTCCTAGTTCTGCTGTCCCCCACTTCTTCACCACCACAGCTCCTTCTGTTCCTGGGCCTGGGCAGGTCTCAAGCCAGGGACCCTCCCCTCCCATCTCTTCTTGCTAGTGGTGAAGTCCCTTGTCCTCCTCTACAATGACACATTAAGCCGGTTGCACTGTTGTGTACCATCGAGTCAGAACTGACTCATCGCTGATCCTCCAGCGGATTTTTGGAGGCAGTGAACTGCACAAGTGGAGAGTGTGTCTCTTCTGTGCAGAGCAGCTGGTGGGTTCCAACCACACTCGGATTAGCAGTGCAACTCCTTACCTGTGAGCCTAGCAAATGGCAAATGGCCAGTCCCCGTGTTAGAGTTCCATGCTCTGTATTTGCATAGTCCCACCCCCACAGAGCTCCATATACCTTATTTACATTATTAGCAAACCGTCCAATCCCATTGGAGCTCCACAAGAGCGTTATTTGCATGGCCCCACCCAGTAATTTGATGATCATCTTCAAGACCAGAGCTAGAAGGGCCACATGAAATCATTGGCTGCGGGGACAGGGTCATTCAGGCCTTACATGCAAGACCCTGAGTGTGGTCCCTCCTTATATTCTGAACCAAAGGAGAGTTTTGATGTTTGTAAAGCTGAGAGATCCACACGCATGGACTTCAGGAACAGCTTGATCCAGGTTCCTGTTGATGTCACTGGACTCCACTTCTCAGCTGCCTTCCTGGTCACTCTTCCTTCATAACTACACACTGCTCCCAGGGTCAGACTCTCTGAGCGGTGGGAGAGAGGGAGTACCTTTGGGCCAACATCTCCATGCGTGCCCTATTTCATCTTTTGGATGTGACAGGGTGTGCGTTCAGGCCTGAATCCCTCCGTGGTTGAAGGAGGCAGAACTCAGTGGCTGTGGACCTGGATATGGGATTTACTCTGAGCTGAGGATGGATCCCACAAGGCATGTGGGTTCAAAGTCAGAGACGGGGACAGCAGGAGGGGGATCAAAGGAGCTTTAGCAGGAAAAGGATGTGGTTGTTGATTGCCGTAGAGTCGAGCTCAACTCATAGTGACTCAATGAACAAAAGACCTAATGCCTTTCCGTAGCTAGCGTTGTTTCTCCAAGTTCATAGAGTTTCCAGACGCATGTGGTTTAGGAATTGGATGCTACTCCCGTTTCCCAACCTGTTTTACAACTGGGAGCTCCACCCAACACTGTCCACAACGGGAAGCCATTCTGGTATTTGATACCCCAATGGCACAAGGTTCAGCATCACAGCAAAGCCAGGTTACCTCATACAGCACATTGACAAAGTGTGATGTGTGAAGTGGAAGAATGTTCCTCCAGATGTAACTGCACTGGTCTCATTTAGCAGTGGTTAAGTGTTTTTGAGTCAAATATGACTCAATAAAGATAAGCTTTGCACAAAAGGCCTGAACTCTGTTCTATGATTAACATTATTTCTGTGTATTTATAAGATGAACATATTAAAATAAAACAAAACTCATTGTGGTCAAGTTCAGGGTGACTCACAGTGGCCCTGTAGGACAGAGTAGACTCAAACCTGCCATCTGCACACAAGTAGCCTGCCTCCTCTTCCTGTATCTGTGCAACTGGTGGATTTGAACCACTGCCTTCTGGGTTGGTCAGCTGCCAAATAGCTTAACCTCCATGCCACCTGGACACCTAGTGAAGCTGAGTGACAAAATGACAGATGTCCACCACACTGCTATTCATCCTGCCATCTTAGAATGTGAGAATTTATGTCCAGAGAGGACAAGTGGTCTGCCCCGGGCCACATAGCAACCATAGCCGAATTGCTGAGATGCGGACACAGGCTACCTCTACTCTTCCTGCCCTTTTGCCCTGCATGGGTCTCCTCACTGTCCCCTGCTGGTGTCCATGAGGCCAGGGGCCTGCCTCTCCTCCCTATGCTGAACCCTATCAGGGACTGAGTGATGGGACCCCCTCACCATCCTCTGCTGGTGTCCCTGAAGCCAGGGGCCTGCCTCTCCTCCCTATGCTGGACCCTGGCAGGTACCAAATGATGAAACATAAACCACAGAGTGACCAAGGCCCCTGGGGCAGGGCACCATGCAGAGCTGCCGTGAGAGCCCAGTGCCATCCTGTGATGAACTGCTTCCAGAAGGCCTGATCCGACGTCAGAGGGAAACACAGGCCTTCTCTCTACCTTTCCTGACACCTTTTCTCTCATGTCCAAGGATCACCGAGGCCGCCAAGCACAAAGACTTCCTGATGTCGGCCACCAGCCTGCTCATCTCCCTGGAGGTGTCCCCGCCGCCCACTCTCTCCCAGAGCTTGTCGGGGTCTCCGCTCGTCACCATCTACCTCGAGCACAAGCTGGTGAGTCCCTGTCCTGGCACCTTTTGCCTGATGTGGCCCATGCTGAGGGGCAGCAGGCTCTCTGGGTGACAGTGCGGGTGTACCTCAGAGGTACTGCTGGCCAGACCACCACAGCAGAGTGGCTACCACAGTAAGGAGAGTCTCATGCGCTTTTTATTTTCCCATTACGTAGAAGTCACATTTGCATTAAGCAGCCGCGGTGGAGGAGCAGGGAGTTCTGCTAGCAGAGCCCGTGGGCGTTGCGCTGTTGACCCACAGCCAAGTCTCACTGTGGTTCAAGTCTATGGTCAGCTCCATGGGAGTGAGATTCCTCCCATGCCATTTACAGCCTCCAGAAACTCGCTGGAGGGTCAGCTAGAAGTTAGTTCAGACTTGACGACAATGAAGGAGATAGAAAAAGAGAGAAAGATGTGAGATCTCTCTCTCTCTCTCTCTCTTTCTCTCTCATCTATCTATCTATATCTATCATCTATCATCTACCTTGTTGTATACTGTCGAGTCAGAACCAGCCCATAGCTGACCCTTCAGCGGGTTTTCAGAGACAGCTAATCACGTGGGAGGAGATTGCCCATCCTTCTCCTGTGGAGCAGCTGGTGGCCTCGAACTGCGTGCCTTCAGGATTGCAGCACAGCTTCTTGCCACTAGGCCACTAGAGGTAGATGGAAAGAGAAAGGGAAGGGAAGGGAAGGGAAAGAAAGGGAAGGGAAAAGGAGAGGAGAGGAGAGGAGGGAGGGAGGAAGGAAGGATAAAAGAAAGGAGAGAGAAAGAGAGAGGAAAGAAAGGAAGAAATATGTATATACTGAGAGAGAGGTGTAGTGCTTTACGTGCTGGGCTGCCAACTTAAAGGTCGATGGTTTGAATCCAGCCACCAGCCATTTCCTGGGAGAACATGAGGCTGCCGTGGAAAGCTGGTGGGTGGTAGCCGTGAGCAGGAACCAGTTTGGCGGCAGTCGGTTTGCTGTGGATCATTTAGTGAACGTGCGTGTTGGAATATTCTGAGAATGACCAGCCTGGGACGCGGCGACAGGAAGTGAGGACGCTCTGTTGGGAAAGTGGCGCCAGCAGGTTGACCTTGAGACTGGCTTGTGACCAAACCAAACCGCTACCACTGAGTCGATTCTGACGCCGCGACCCAGCAGGACAGGGTTGAGCTGCCCACGGCATCTGCTTTCTCCCATGTAGAGGCTGGTGGATTTGAACCGGGCACCTTTTGCTGAGCATTTGAGAAACCTTCCATGTGTAAATGTCTGTGCAACTCAATAAGGAGAGATAGGCCTGTTCAGAGCACTCGGATGCCATTGTCCTGAGGGGGTGTCCCGCTCCCCCCATCCTAGAGTTCCTTTTCTTCTGTCTTCACCGTCAAGTTCCACCCTCAGCGTGGCAGGGCGGCACTTAAGCTGGGTCACGGTCCCCAGGCGCAGCTTGCACGCCCGTGTGCACGGGGACTGTGGGGTCTCTCTGACCTAGAATGGACTCACTTTGTGGAGGACGCCGATGAGCTGGTCCATCTCAATTATCGTGCGTACTGGCCATTAGCGAGATGGAGAAATCTGTTCTGCCCGAGAGGAGCTCGCTCAGGAGCTGGGGCGGGCGGTCCACGGCTCTGAGCCATGGTGAGGCCTGTCACGCAGCTTTCTGGCTTTCCTTGCGGTGGTGTCCCATTGCTGTCCTCCCCGGTGGGGACATCTGCCCGATGCCTCCATCCTGCAGGCAGTCTCGGCCCACAGCTCAGGCTTCAGCATTCCCCCCTTGTCCCGCTGTGCAGGGTGATTTATATGTTAATGGGATGTTTGTTGACTCTGAGGGCTGTCATTTCTTGAGGAAAATTATTGACTGACGCACCTAGTACACTGGGAGTAGTTGGAACTCATATTAAACAAGTTTCTCTCAGGGCTGAGCTTCTCGTCCTGACGGGCCCCCTGCACCTGCAGGAGGTGAAGGGTTCTGTGTGTGGGACACTGGACAGGATGGAGGGGGGCTGTATTCCCACCAGGAGTTATCTTCTCTGTCCACCTTCTTTGTGCAGAACACTGGCTGGGGGTCCCCTGTATCCCTCTAACTGGGGTTATATCCCCTGTCCACCTTCTCTGTACAGGACGGTGGGCTGAGGGTCCTCTGTGTGTCCCCACCTGGGGTTTTCTCCCTCTTTCAATCTCCCAGGAGACCACCCATTGGGAGTCAGAGTGAGGCTCAGGGGTCTAGCAAGATCTCACTCACCTGGGCTCCCACCCTGCACCCGCCCCCTTCCCAGTGTGGAGCTGGTCTTCCTCCCTGGGGCTCTGTTCCTGACCTGGCCCTCCTACCCCAGTGTTTGAGTCTTGTTCCCAAGGGTCCCCCAATGCTGTGCATGGCCCCCACCCCCTATCCACAGCCCAGCATTTCTCCTTTCCGGGGAGAGGGGGAGCCCATTCCTGCCCTGGCCCTCCTACCCCAGTGTCTGAGTCTTGTTACCTGGTTTCAGCTCCCTCTGGCCGCCCCACCTGGGCTGGTAAACAGCATGTCTTGTCCCTCACCCACCCCCCACCCCCACCCCC